ACTATGCCCGAGCTCTACATACATACATAAGCTAACGTACATATGTTCAGATTCATGGATGTGAGTAAAAAGTCAGCAAAAGGTCAGAGGTAAAACAGTATTGAAAATATAAAACTCTTAACAATATTTTATCCATTTCATTAATTTATGTCACAATAAACAACCTTCTGAATGCCTTAGTTGATTCATATGATTTCTCCCCAAAGTATAGGCAGGTAAAGCTCTAGTGGCCTTACATCCTTTATTATAAGTCCTTTATTTCAGTAAGCTGTCCTTTAGATTTATTTATTTTTCAAAAATAAATAAATCACTTCTGTCCTTTATTTTGGTCACTTAACTTTTACCATACAAATCCTATCACTTGATACACAGTCTTTTACATTCATGTGAAAAATATGGAAACTGAATTGTCCTTTTAAAATATATTAACTTATAGTCTTTGATTTTAGATCTTTTATTAGAATATGCTGTTCTGTAAACCTTTTTTTTTTTTTTTGGTTTTGCTGTTGAATTTCCCTTTGTAAAGTAATAAACAATTTAAAATTTATGAACTTCTTTTCAGATCTGAACCTTTTTCAGCTTTGCCTTTTATTTTTTCCAAGAAAATAGGCTCACTGTAGGTAAAGCTCATTTTAAAAAAGCTAATTTTTAGCCTAAAACTTAGGCTAAAAAGAGGTAGAAAAACACAACAAACTTAGTGAATCCATTCACTAGAAACAGGATTCAAGTCTGAGAAGGAATTTAAGTTATGTTTTTATATTTTCTTAAATTTCATTTATGCGTTATGGGGAACGATGCGGTCATTACATTTAATAAGAATACAAGAGATATGTTGAATAAGAAAGAGTCCCATTTTGTCCATCATTCTATTTCACAATGTCCAAATAGATGCCTATGCAAACCTGGTGAACAATGCATTAAATAAGTAGCATTTTTATGCAACTCCTGTTACAATAAGAAGAAGACGAGCTCCAGGACTAGAAATGATATACAAAGATAGAAATTACTGAATGGAAGAGTCTACTTGCAAACTTAAATCACCTTACGCAGAAGTGAATCCCGCTGAGCATTGGATTGGATTTCAGTAAGATTACATTTTAGGAATACTTAAAAAGGGTTCACAATTGGAACAATAATAAAAGTTAAATTCATATTTATTCTAATACCCATGAATATAGTATAAAGTATATGGTGCTAGCCTTAGATTGACTTGATCAGTCATGAAGCTCAGAGAGTGACCCTCAGCCTGATAATATTCTTAATGCTGTTATGAAAATAAATGTGACAGACTGTTTTCTCCTTACAGGAAGGATGAATTATTAAGAGAATAAATACAAATAAAATGTCTGATTCAATATCTAACACCGACCTCAACAATATTATAGTTTGTCACCTACCTTATGTGGGTAATAAGGAGGGTCGTAGATGGAATGAAAAAGTCATCCACTCTGTCAAACTGTGTCCCCACTGGTTGAGTGTGAATAGTATGATGAGAAATACTTCCACTGGCCTGGGTTATTACCTGGAAAACATATTGTACATTTCTTTACATGTTTGGTAACTTTAGTTATCATTTGAGTGTTTAAATTATCAGGAATAGCTAGCCTTGCAACTCTGAAAGTCCCCTCCATCCAGAAGGTTTTAAAGTAATAGCCCAAATACATCTGGAGAACAGCCTATTGGGGAATGTTTTATTTTTGCCATGTTTACATTATTGTGACCCGCTTATCCAAAATGACGCCTTTGTAATCTAAAGCCTTGAGTGGTTTAATTTTTGATGAAATAGTTTATTGCATAATACAAAGAATGGGCAGTCTTATTTAGTCACCTGAACAAATTTAATATATGTATAGATTTCTGGAACTGGGAAAACTTCCCTTCATTCTTCTAACTGAGATAACTTTCATTTGACTCATTATCTTTGTGTAAATGGAAGTATGAATGGAGATAGGCAAAAGGAAAATACAATATGAATGCGTATTAATTAATAACATGTTAAATGTTTGATGTTTAAAAGTAAATGCAATAATTTCCACTAAAGTAAGTAAAACACTTATTTGTACAGAAACAGTACTCCTATCCAACCAAAGGAGATTCAACTTTTCTACGAGATGCAGCATTACTTAAGATAGACGTCAGATCCATCTGTCCTACCATGATGAAAATAGAATTAACATAAATATGTCTCTATTGTTCAACTTCTTATACTCTAGTCATGGAAAACCTATTTGTATATTCTAGTCAGATCTTGCCATTCAGTGCAAGAAGGAATTAAGAAGGGGTGAGGAGATAGGAATAATCAGGGCACACTAAACAAATTATCTAACCAAATGGCAAACCCCTGGTTAGATAAAAATAGCCTTGAATAATGGTAATGATATACCAAATATTTTATTCAGGATCAAACTAAGTGCCGTATTAGGACATGAAGGTTATGGTGAAATTTCAGCTGAGAAGTTTATGATTTAAATTTCTTCACTGTATCAATGGTCTCCCTAAATAAGGCCCATCTGATTGTAAACAAAATAAACAACCCAATGTTTTTTTTAACACATTATAATTGCTATTGATAAGGTACTTGTAATTGGTCTCACATGTAACCTGCATCTGTATAACCAAACTGTTTGCCCCCTCCCTTCCACTTTGCCTCACCCTAATTTAAATCCTAAATCCATCTGGCCACTCTATGCATCTGATGAAGTAAGCATGCCTTCAATAAATTTGTTAGTTGGAAAAAGTGCTACCAGACTCCATCTAATTCTTTGCCACCATAGACTAACACAGCTCCCTCCTACTATGTCACTGGTAGTTTCCTATATATTAAGTGTTCATGTATTTATAACTATCCTCCCGATAGTTTTGTATGTGAAGTTAGGACACTGTCAAGGAGCATTATATTTTCTAGCCAGTGTACATGTCTATATTTAATATAAAAA